TACCAATATAATACCGAAAGTCCTCTGTAAACTAAAGATATATTATATATCCTAATACATTTTCCATGGAAATTGTTTCACTGGTATATATGGAGATACTTTAATCTAGATATATATTATATATCCTAATCAGTATCACTATATTATATATACTCAAATATACACTATTATAAAGGATAATAGCAGATAGCAAGAGATAATGGGAACCAGAGAGCAACAGATTCTGTCAAAAAATGAAACCTAAATTGAGCATATACAATAAGAACTATATACCTCGATTCTGTGCAAAATTGAAACCTAAATATAGCATAAAATACGATATAATGGGACATGACGGATTGGATTGCTCATGCGACGGAGGAAGAAGATGAAATTAGAACTTACAGTGTAATGGAGTCGACGTAGCCGCCGGAGACGAAGGAAGCGTGACGATGTTGCCCTATGAAATGCGACGGAGGCTGCCGGAGAAATCTTCTGCAAAGAACGGAGAAGCACCCGCCGGAGAAATACCTTGAGAAACGTCGACGAGAAGCTTGAAGAGGGAGAAACCGTACAGTTGCAGCGATGAAGAGGGATAAACCGACGGAGATGAAGGAGGCTACGAAATCGTGGGTTTTTAGAAATTTCAATTTTGGAAATTTGAATTAGCTTAATTTTAGGGATTTGATATATTTTAATAATTATTTACCAATTTCATATTTTATTAATGATTTAATATTGAAATGGATATATTAGTAATTTCTATTATGAGTACCATCTATTTTCGGAATTATGTTAGACAAAAGTGTAAATTCTAGAACTTTCAATCCTTTTATGTAATTAGGTCTCCTAAATATACCATCTATGTACTAATCCCTTATTATTATTTTGTCTTTCCATATTCCTCTCTCGATCTTTTCAACAATCAAAATTAATTTTCCTCTCTTCCTCACACCCTCTTTCTCTCTCTCTAAAAATAGGGTTTCCTCTCTTTCTCACACCCTCTCACTCCATGCCCAATATTTTTCTCTCTTCTTCACACCCTTCACTCTCTTCCTCACACTCCCTATAAAAAATCTAGCGACTTTTTCTCTTCCTCTTCCTCACACATCTCTCTCTAAGTCTCTACGTATTAGTCGGATATGATCGTGATCGAGATCGAGAGCGAGAGCGAGATTATGAGCGAGATCGAGAGCAAGATCGAGAGCGAGACCGAGATTTTGAGCGAGATAGGGAGCTATCGTAGAGATTTTGAGCGAGATCGAAAGCGAGAGGAAAACGGCGAAGCCGCCGGCGGCCAATAAAAGGAAAACGAAGGTGCCCACGGTCGGATCTCGCTCTCGACGGCTAGATCTCGCTCTCAGACAGTCTTATTTTTAGAGAGAGAGAAAGTGTGTCTATGAAATTAATTTGATTTTTGTTCCATTATAAATCTATTTTTAGATAAAGTATCTATGAAATTAATTGGGTTTTTGTTCCATTATAAATCTAGAGAGAGAAAGTGTGACTATGAAATTAATAGAGTTTTTGTTCAATTCTAAATTCTATTTTTAGAGAGAAAGTGTGTCTATGAAATTAATTGGATTGTTGTTCCATTCTAAATCATATTTTTAGAGAGAGAAAGTGTGTCTATCAATTTAATTGGGTTTTTGAGAAAAAATTGAACGAGAATGAGAGAGAAGAAAACAAAAATGAGGAGAGAGGAAGAATGATGTTTTTTGAAATATGGAAAAAGAGGGTGAGTGAACAAGATAGAAATCTAAAAATGAGTGGAGGGTTAGTGAAAGTAATTTGGTAGCAAAGATATGTCAGCAAAGATGATGTCAGCAAAGATTAAAAAACATAGGTTTTGAAAAAAGTGGGTAAAAAACAATACTGCTTTGGTAAAATGGCTATTCAGTCCGATTTCCCAAGAATGGATAAATTATTAAAGCAGAATGTCAAGTCATTAGAGTCGATTAGGGCATTACTTACCTCGAACTGATGGCAATTCGTGAGGGATTTGGAGCGGCAATAGGTGAAAACTCCAGAACAATCCATCTGGAAAAAGATTCATGGGAGGTTGCTCAAATTCTTCATGACATTCACCGAACATTACAGAAATTTTTTGGCTGTTTGAAGAAATCAGAAACTGAGGCAAAACTGAGTAATCTTGGCTATCTGTCTATACCACTTGGCTGTCTGCTTGAGTGAATAATTAATTTTTTTTTAGGTTGGTTTGTTTATATTTGTCCTCACAAAATAAAAAGAAAATATATATATATATATGAACTTAGCAAAAAAAAATAAAAAGAAGGCATAGGAGAAAGCTCTCGAAAGGCTAACAAAAGAGCCTAGTGAGCTACCAACTAACATAGAGGCATAGAGAGAACTTCATACTAAATGAGGGGCAACGATTTGTGTCATACTTTTTCACTGGTTAGGTGTGAGTTTACAGAGCTAAGCCTAATCCATGTTAGAATTAGGAATTCCTCTTCCAACTCATCCCGGAATGGGCGTTAGGCAAAGAACAAGAAGAAAACAAAAGGATAAATTTGTCCAATATGTCCAATAGTGACAAATCCAATAGTAACAAATCGTGCCTCAGTCACCAGGATGTTTAAGAGAGAAAAATAGACTTCTTCATACATTAGTGAGATTAACATATTTAACGCATGCAACAAGAAATGACCAATACCGAATGAGCAACTAGAATTTCTACTTTCTATTAAAAAAAAACTTTAAAACATTCCGATCCCGTGATGACTTGTAAGATCACTGAAATTTATATAGCTACATGCAGCCACCAATAATATCACCTAAAAGATCAAATTGCAGCAGAAGATTTCAAAACTAGAAGAGTATCCGCTCTTGATAAACATCCAATGCCTCGATGACTTTCTCTATGTACAACTTCCTATGCAATCTGTACCTGCAAGGAACCGATAAAACTCCATTATTTATTTTATCCTTTTTTTAATAACCGGGAGTCCGGAGTTTTGCTTCCCTATTCCCAATGGCACCTGCACCAGCCTCAAGGCCTAAACCAAGGAGATATCAAAGTTTTTGGTATTAAGCTCAACAAAAGGTTCGAACTTGAGACCTCAAAGCTAATATGATGAAGAGACTCCAAACCCTTACCAACCGGGCTACTCCTTAGGGACTCTCATAAAACTCCATTATTAGCCATAAAAACGAATGGGAATTTCATTTATCACCGTTAGAATCATATAATTAGTTTAAGAAGGAAGAAGATAGTATGTACTTGATTGAGGCTTCTAGCGTCCTTGTAGGTTGTGATATAGAATCTGTTGGTTGTTTCAAACAGCAGCACAGTAAAGTATTAGCATCTTCAAATAAAAGATCTCAAGAATTCTTCATGGTTTTCAAATTCGGTTTGGGCTCTAAGCCGTTTAATAGTTATCCTATAAGTAACAGAAGCCTTTAATACAGGAGATGGTGGGTCTGCTTGACGTACCTAGCATTTTTTGGTCCTGTTCTGATGTGGTAGGAAATGCAGCGAGCATCTGTTGGCACTCTTCTTGTAACTCTTTTACCGCTTTCCTCTCCCTGCTTGGGCTTGGCGGGATATCCCCATCTGACCATGAAGGCAGAGATCTTGCCGCTGCAATCACCGCTCCGTCAACAAAATTATCCTCCTTGTTCGATAACCGACCTGCTATTGTTATTTTTTTCATTTGGTCAGCACTTTGTTGAATTACTGAGTTTTTCCCCCTTATAAAAAGAGGTAAACAAAAGAAAGTTTTCATAACCATACCATTATAGTAGTATTCTTCAGGAAGGCCAGCTATATTGAAAACTGATAAGAATGAGTCCAGGTGAATCCGTGAATTACCGGAGAACTCGATCATATCCCAAGGATTCTGCAGTTCCCCAAGTTAGATGCTAAAATCACACACTACAAGGACAAGATTCATGTAAATGATAATGGAGTAGGACACCAATATTTCTCTCTTTTTAAGGAAACACAATCTTCTTCTACACCAGCCTGAAAATAAATTGCATCATTAACTCGAATATATCTGGGAAGTTAAGTTGTGCTCGAAGGCAAATTACCACTGGAGATGAAAAGCCATATCTCTGCAGAAACATGTTGTTCTTTTGCCCATTCATGTAATTGACTGTCATCTGCAAGTCAAACAAGAGATAGTATAGTCTATTATGTCTACATACGTAGGCACAAAAGCTATTATCAGCACAATTATGTTTCAGCATTAAATGTTAAAAAGGTTTTATTGTATAATTCTGGACTAATTCTGGCAAGCTGAGATTGCAAATTGTAACAGCTTTCATTGTTTTTTTGCCACGATGTATTTGTAGTAGTAGCACAAAGTACTGCATCAAGAAAATATACAGAAATTTGAAGTCCCAGGAAGTGAAATTCTTTCTAAGACTGCGTCAAAAAGAAAAATCCTCATATCACACTCCTTCCAGTACGTGTGAACTGCAAGAGGAAGGATGAAACCATCAACCATCTTCTTTTTGGCTGTGAAGAGGTATTTTTTTATTTTTTATAAGAAACAAAGATGGAATATTCATGAACCAAGATCCAAAAAGGGAAAGTCAACCTAAAGGCGGAGGGTTGAGAGAACCCTCCTCAAAGGACTATACAATCACAGCATTCCATAATCAAAATTGTAATTACGGCTTCTTGGTGGGCTACAATCCACCAGCTGTGGAGAGGTCATGATTATGCAACAAGTTCAGACTAGTTTAGTGTCTACATGAAGATCTATAATTGGTGTCTTCAGAGATCTTTTCGGGATGGTGGGTAATAGGAAAAGCTAGAACTCTTCGAAAAACCGCTATTCGATGTATTGTGTTAATTGGATAGGAAAAAAGCAATAGGATTTTCAAAGAGATAAATAATTTTTTTTATAGCTCTTGGGAGGTTGTACAATACACCACACTACCTCCTGTTAGGTTATTTATTCTACAGGCTGCTTCCTCTTACGTAAAACTACCCGAACTTTTATAAGTTTCCTTCGAGTGATCGAGAGGAGATGTCTTATCTCCTCGCCTATTTTTGTATATTCCATCTTCTTTGATCTGAAATGATTTCTCTCATCAATGAATGTATGTGTATATATATATTTGTCTCTATGTAAAATTTTTGCAATGAGGCAACCGAAATGTTTCCATATAAGATTGCCAAGAAAGAAATTGTTTAAGCTATGTTGGAACATTGCTAAATTTGAATTTAATAAGACAATGTGAACCTCTTGCCCTTTTTTGATCTGCTGCCCAGCATTAATCATCACCTCAAGCATCCGATCCTTAAACCGCCAGTGGAAAAAACAATTTGGCCGAAAAGAATGGTTCAGCATGTCTGCATAATATGGTTAAAAATTACTCAATTTATAATATAAAAAGTAAAAACGATGAACGTAATAAACTTATCTGAAGGCTTCCAACAGGTAAGTGAAATATACTAATCCTGTGATGCATTTTGAGGCATCTTAGCCTGTTATTTCTACTAAAGTGCTGCCAACAGTTCCATTGATTCTTATCCAGAAAAAAATCAGGTTAAAACATGATTCAAATCACCTAGGGGCTAAACTCTTTAGTGTTTCCAGTACCACAAAACACATTTAGAACTACCTATATGATATAGAGAGCAAATTATGCTTTAAACACTACTTTAATGTTTGTTGTCCAGAATTCTACCTCAGCAGACACATATACCCCCCAGCAGAAGTTTACCAGCATAAGGAATTAGCATATTTGCATCTTGTACTAGAGCTCCGATCCTTGTTTGCATGTTGATGCATCGTGATTGTGCTATACTCAAAGCCCAAATGAATCTTTTAGGATCTCGAGCAAGGCGCTTAATTTTAAGGGGTACACCACTGTGCTGAAGTATTATAGAAACAATAAGTCATATAACAGAACCAGGCACATTAGTTTTATGGAAAATTAAAAGTACATTCCATCCATGTCATAGAAATTTCTTTTACTTTACCCAGTTCCTTTCCCAGAAGTCCAGAGCACGACGCTGCTGGTCTCTAATGGTTGAGGCAAGATTTTCATCCTGCAGCTCCAAAAGTTCTTCCTATGATGCATATACATCACGCAAGTTGATCATTAAGGAATCACAAAATAGCAAAATCGTTAATAAGGGAAAGAAGAGTGCAGCAACCTTTGAGGAACAAAAACTCAATAAACTTCAACAATAATCTAATTAAATTGCATTCCCATATTTCTCAATGTTCGGACTTCAAATTACCATACATGAGAAAACAAGTCAATATTGATTGCATGACAGCTAAAACCTGGGTCCAATATTGTCTATCACTTATTATCCCTTCCAACGCAAGTAAATAAGTTCCTATGGGAAAACACCACTTTATGGATAATTTTCTTCATTTAATCAAATTTTACTTTCATAATCAGTCAAATATAAGGAAGATTTTCATTTGAGAACATGGAATTAAATGAAATGCATTAAATCTTTAGGCATGAAGATATTGTCACTGCTTAATCATAAATGCAAAATTTTCACTGTTCATTCATAGATACCTCTGAAGCTAGAAGCAAGCTTGTACATTCATCAATACTTGGTAAGAAATCACCATAGAGCTGCCAAAAGTTGTCCTCTCGATCAAATGCATATAAAAGAAGACACGCTAACCTTAAATCCCAATCTGTCTGCCATAACAAGATATGCTTTATATAAGTTATTTACAAGCAAAAAAAAAACTTCAAAAAAAAAAAAAATTGAGCATTTATCCAAATTGAATGAGATAAAATATCAGATAGTCAGGTTGGAGGCAGAGAAATAAAAAGAATCATCTAAACCAGAATAAAATAATAAAATGAAAAATCTAGTTAAAATAATTAGCAACAATAAAATGAATCTTCGCTAAGAAAAAGTATGTACAATCTAATGAAAAATTTGCTTACCTCTGGATTTGTTGAGTTAATTATATCAAATATTGGATGACCCACTGGAACTATATCAGGGAAAAACATCCACGGGAGTTTCTGGCTTATGGTTAACATTAGTTCTAAAGGAATTTCCATAATAACCTGCGAATGAATAGATAAAATAAAACCACCATCAGTCATCAGCTACAGATTTAAATACCAACCAAGGTCAACGAAACCGACAATTTGTGAAGTAATGCATGAAACTGACCCTAGCACGGCGAAGAGGTTCAACATCTTTGGAAGCGTATACTCCAAATCCATCCGGTCCTTCTTTGAATTCAATTCCATAAGCTCGCATGCTTCTGACATATCCTATCTTATAGAAGTCGGGGTCTGCTGGTTCCAACTTCGGAGGTTTAAGGGTAAAAATGGCAGTAAAGACTAAACGTTAACCCAATGTACCCATATTAATGAAAGACGAAAAATGAAACAAATCATAGATCTGTTTAGCAAAGAATTTTATGATGGTTAAATGTGGATTCCACCTCAGAGGTAGATTCGTCTGCTTTTGGTGACTGTAGAAGAGGAAATGCAGGCATTTCGGTTGCAGCTTTAATCGGCCGCAGTCTGCTTTTAGTGGAAGTGGAAGAACTGTTACTGAATCGTGGTGACGAAGAAGGCCAAAAATTCTTCACCTGCATCCATTATAGAGAGAAAATGAGAGACAGACAAGGAGTAGAGTGCGTTGCCATAGGAAGAAAGGTAGAAAGGACCTGCGGGCAGGAGATGAAGCAGTGGGTTGGCTGATGGAGGGACACAAAGTTCGCCATTTTAGAGGGGAATTTCTACCGATCAAAAGCTTGCTTTCAGTTTTTCAGAAGAACGTTATCCACTTGGGCCTCCGTTTTCCCTCCCATTTTTAAGAACAGGATTGGCTAATGCTTTGCATTGTCTAAATATGTTTCAGATAAGAAATTTCAATAGTTAAAATGTAATTTGGCCAATGCTTTGCATTGTTTAATTCTTTAAGAATTTTTCAAAAATTTCGTGTGCTTGCACGGGAGCCGGAACTCCATGAAAATACAACAGATTACTCAATCCTCATCTTTTAGAATTAAATACAAAGAAATAAATAGCTAAAACCAATATCAAATATCCACAAAATTTCAGAAAACCAAATAAAATAACATGGAAAATAGTCCCAAATCTCTCAATTTTCAATCAAACAAGAACATGGAAAATAAACATGAACATGGAAAATGTCCCAAAAATTATCCAATTTCAACCAACAAAAACATCGTTCAATATTCATCCATAATAATATGTAAAACACCCCAAATTACTCAATGTTTTCAGCAAGCAATAAACATGAAAACAGTCCCCATAGAACCAAAATCTCTTAAAACCCCCCAAATATCCATAAACATCAGAACCACAAGCAAACCACATAACTACGCATAGTCAAATACACAAAAATTTCATAGCATACTGAAGTATTTACAAATTTCAAAACTTATATACTCAAACACAGAAATCAGACACTGAAATCACAAACAGTCCAGTCCAGATAAGATTATCGCCGTACTCGGATTTAGAACCACAGGTTTTAGAAACTTTACTCACTTTACTCACCTATGGATTTATGTTCACTGGTCGTCGGAGGTTGGGTTGCTGGAATTCTGCTGCGGCACCGTCGGGTCCGCCGCCGCCGCTGGAGCTCGTGCAGCCGCCGGACGTCTACCGATGTCCAGAGTGGGCTCGTGCTGCGGGGTTCGTAGTTGTGCCTCGCCGGATTTGCAATGAAAAAGAGATATGAAAAGTTCGGATAGAGGAAGAGGGAATGGTGGTGGGGTTCGTTATTTTCCAAAACGAGGGGGTTTAGCGCTTTTTGGAGAGAGAGAATCTAATAGTTAAAAAATAAAATAAAATAAGTTACTAAAAAAGAAACTTTTTCTAAGCGGAAATCATATTTACTTTTTTTCCCGTCCTCTATTTACTAACATGGTTTTAAAAATCCGTAAACACATCGATATTTCCATCAACATATCCATATTTTCATGGGTTCCCGCTATGTGCGGGAGTCCTTGACAGGCACTCCAAAACCCGCCAACGCTCATTCAAACCCGGGTCGGTTGGTCCTCCATTCATCCGACCTGTTGTTCTGTTCCCGCCACAAGAAAGACGCACAGAATAGGTATGCCCAGCGCGCGGAGGATCCGTTGAGACTTTCTCTTGTCTCGATAGGGAACTGTACGATCTTTTCCCCTAATTGTATTGAATCGATAAAAAAAGAGGTCAGTGCTACGGCCCCCTATTGTTTGATCCAATATTGACCGGGGACGAGTCCCGACTTGCATAGGTCCTTGGTTTGACCTCCCGTAGTGGTCCTTGCTTTTAATAAAGCGGAGCGGGGCCAATTTCTCGTACTTGCTCAGTGTGCCCCCCTTTCGTCGAGTGCCCCGCCCGGTTCACTGGGCTGACAAGGAGTAAATTAACATTTCCATCCTAGTAAAAAAAATTGATAAAATATGAAAAATATCAACAGAAATGTCACTAATAAGATTAATTATTTTAAACTAATTTAGAAATAGGAAAATGTTTATTTGTTCATTTAAATATTTTTTACGATTGTTTTAATTTTCTTAACTTTTACAAAAGTATCCATCGATATCGATATCGACATTTTATCAATATTTACATGTAATATAGACCTCGATATTTCCATCGACATTTTAAACCTTGCTTCTAAAATCGTAGCCGACAGCCAAAGCGAGCATAGCTCAATGGTAATTGGTATATATCTCCAATCAAGATGTTGTTTGATTTCCAACTCCACATGTTGTACTGAAAAAGAAAAAAAAAAGTCTTCGCCATTTGTGAACTTATTGCTGATCTCCTATGTTCGTCAAATATTTTTTCAATTTATTTTTGTTTTATCATTTTTTTATTTTAAACTTTTATGGAAATAAAACTTGGTTGAACCAAATACAGTGTCTACAACATTCTTGAGAAATAATAGTCTTTTAACCCACCCAAGAATAACATGTTAATAATTAGTGCAAACATGTGTTATTTTATTTTTTAGCGTTTCCATATTTTATGCTTAGTAGTTAATTTAATAGTTGACAGTAAAGCTACGCAGTAGATGAGTGGATGTGTAATTTAAAGAGTTTCTATGCTTAGTGGCTTAGTGGAGTAACGGTGTTAGATAAAAAGAATTTGAAGGATAGTGGTCTACTTAGTGAGTTAGTGATCGGTTATGAATTTTCCTATAAATATTTTGTAACAATTCTCAATTTAATTAATAGAAATTTTTCCTTCGTACAATTTCTCTCTAGCTTCGACTTTGTTGTTCTATTTGTTTTTTCGTTACATGGTATCAGAGAGTCCAGGTTATTTTCCCTGCGTTTGAGTTTAGTGCTCGACAATTGAGTTTAGTACTTGTTGAAGATGAACGGTGGAAGTAATGTTTGTGTAGACAAGCTTATGGGGGATATATAATTATAGCTATTGGAGGCAAGGACGGATCCAAATTTTCTTTTTCAGGGGTGCTTTATATAAAATTCAGTAAATATTCTCCACGAATTGGATTATTTTTTTAAAATTTCTTTTAAAATAATGATGATTTAAATAAAAAGGCAAAATATATTTTTGGTGTTTGAGGTAGGTGTTTACTTGGTTCCTGAAATTTCAAAATGAACACTTCTGGTCTCTGAGATTTGAGGTAGGTGTCTAATTGGTCTTGAAGTTTCAAAATGAACACTTTTGGTCTCTTAAGTTTGAGGTAGGTGTCTAATTGGTCCTGAAGTTTCAAAATGAACATCCTTGAAGTTTAAAGTAGGTGTCAACTTGGTCCCTAAAATAAACACTTTTTGTCCCTGAAGTTTGGGAAATAGTTCTAAATGGTCCATGATTTTTTATTTTTTTACTATTAATTTAACTAATATTAACATGACGTGGCAAATTACATTTAAATTGTTTATTGTAGTTGCTGATGTGGCAAATTATATTAATTAAATGATATATGTCCGGCAAAGACGTGGTGGTTGCTAGAAAGAGAAAGGAAGAGATGAGGAGACAAGAGACAAAGTACAATCACTTACACATATATTTTTAACTAATATAATTTGCCACATCAGCAACTACAATAAATAATTTAATTGCAATTTACCACGTCATTTTAATATTAGTTAATTAAAAGTAAAAAAAATAAAAGACTATTTAGAACTATTTCTCAAATTTCAGGGACCAAAAGTGTACATTTTAAAACTTGAAGGACCAAGTTGACACATACTTTAAACCTCAAGGACCAAACATGTTCATTTTGAAATTTGAGAGACCAAGTAGTCATCTACCTCAAACATCAGATAGCAAAAGTATTCATTTGAAATTTTAGGGATTAAATAGACACCTATCTCAAACTTTAGGAATCAAAAATGTATTTTGCCCTAAATAAAATGATATAAAAAATACGTTTTTCCAAAATTATTTGAAAAATAACGCTTTTGGTGGGTGGAGTACGACTGAGAGACGACCATTTAGGCGGTTGGTCGACCACTATCTAGGCACTCTTTTTTTCTTTTATTTTTTTTTTGTAATTTAATAGCATCCTTTATCTTTTATTTGTTTCTTATATAAACTAATTATAAAAGTTAGTTTTTTTTAATATACATTAAATTCTTATTTTATCTAAATTCATAATATTATATAAACTAAATTTTATCTTTTATTTTATCATTAAATTCTTATTTTAACTAAATTCATAGGACTATATAAACTAAATTTTATCTTTTATTTTATCAATAAATTCTTATTTTAACTAAATTCATAATATTATATAAACTAAATTTTATCTTTTATTTTATCAATAAATTCTTATTTTAACTAAATTCATAATATTATATAAACTAAATTCCATCTTTTATTTTATCTTCAAGATCTTTTAAGAATTATAAAGTTATATGTTATAATTCAAATTAAAAAAATAATAAATTAGAGAATAATATTTTACGTTTATATAAATAAAATAATTATTAATGTCAATTTATAGCCTATCTATCTAATCCGTCCACAATGGGGACGTCGCCGATTATGATGTGGCTGACGACGATCTCTTGGTACGGCTGGTGTCTCCCGATCGTCTATAGGGTTGAGGTACTGTACATGCTTCCCATGTCCACGTCTATGGCCTACTCCATAACCATACTGTGGTGGCAAATGTGGTATATGATACTGACTTGAACCAAGAGTCAATGTCATGATCATAGGCGTGGATGGATCAACATCATCTTGTGTCTATGCAAACGGTGGAACGTCATCGACGTTATGATAAATAACTTCAGGTACAGGAACATCAAGCTCGATTGGAGCATCTTGCTCTAGTTGACGACGTCTTCTAATCCTAGGGCCATGAGCAGGTGTAGACACTCCAGCTAATGAAGGCTTTGAAGATATCTCCCACTAATGTTACACAACCTACTAATATATTCTGATGACTAGAGAATACTTATTTGCTCGAAACACGCAACATGGAAAAAAATTAATAAATATATATTTAAATTCGAATAGTTTATATAACCAACTCATGTATTCGGGATCGAGTGAGATATTGCCTAGTGATTGATAAATATATAACCAAATGCTACTCCTTCTTGAGTGAGATATCGTCTAGTGATTGATAAATACCAACTGTATTTGGGATCGCAAACACCATCATCGTCCACCGAAGGATTCACAATAATAAAATCTCTACGCACGCGCCACCTCACTACATAAGGTGCAGTCTAGTCCTGCCATGTGCTATCTTGAATGTATACGTCATGTATCCTCAGTTCCCAGCTGAGCACTTTTTGATTCCTAGAAGATTTGGTCGCCATAACTGGCTTTGGTGACAAAATTAAGCTGTCGTCACTAGAGTAACCTTTGGCAACGACATAGATTTTGTGGCCATAGGTCCTTTTTTTTTTGCAATATTAATATTATTTTCCTGAATAAAATAGACACGAGTTCAAAATTTTCATATAAAGATTTATAATATTAAATAATCATTGGTTTTACAATCTCGTAGAAAAAGTTCAATATAAAGTAAAATTCAACATATTAAACCTATGCTAAAAAGTCTCATAATCAACAATCTAACATATTCTAAGAAGTCCCATAATCAAGTCTTTCATAAAACCTTCTCAAATTTCCAAAAGCTTTGGATAGAGAAATCAAACAATCAAACAAACCTGAAAAAACAAATGACAAATAAACTTATGTGAATAAAATAGTTAATTTATTTCTCAAAACTAATTTAATAGCCATAAAAATGTCTAATTCACCCTACATGTCATGAACTCAAACTAAGCATTCAAAGTTAACACAAGACATAAACTCACCACTTCCCTTCAAAGTTAACAAATTTCTATTCTAACTCACTCCAAATGTCATAAACTTAAACTAAGCATTCAAACTTCCATTCTATACAACTCATTAAAACTTAAACTAGATTTCACAAACTAGAAGATTAGAAGAGCACCCCATCTCCAAAACG